CAGCAACATGAATATCTATTGTCAGCTCGTCAAATTCAGATATATGCTGAAAATTTGTCAATATTGATGATATATTACTCTTATTTTCAGAAAAATGATAATGGGGATCACCAATACCTGTACGTTAAACCAGAATTAGGACTATACTATGTTGGAGCCGATTACTTTTCGGAATTTATCAAAAAAACTCACAAGGCAAATGCTCAACTAATGCCAATTGTAATTGATTGTGCAAATATACTCAGATTGGATTATTCAGCTGCAAGGGTAAGTATTTTATATCGTACAGATTTTTAAACGATACATACAGCGTGTTTCTCTTCATACATCATGGAACAATTATTGGAGAACAACATTTCAATGAATTCATGGTTCTCTTCATTCTTACCTCTAGTCTCATAATTATGCATTTGATTTTTGATTGTTATGAATTCATTGAAATACTTTGGAAACTCGCAATTAACCACCTCAAAAATGAATATCATGGTGAAGTATACAGGGTTTTTCACTTAAAACTCCGCACGCCAATATCTCGAAAACGAATAGGAATATTTGATTTCTGTGAAAATTAGTCAATGGAGGGGGTCAAGTAGATTTCTTTTCAAAGTATGAAAAATTCAACGCCTACTAGGAGCTGAGCGTCGTGACGCGTCGAAAGTATAAATCGATTGCAGTGCCTTTGAAATAACACGCACGCAAAAGTACATGTTATTTATAAACTTCCTGTTATTTACTCGATCAATCAATCAATCTTTTATTTTCCTTAAAATGACAAAAATTTTACATTTTGTATAGGAATAGTCAGCACCTTATATCTAACTTTTAACTAAAACTAAATAAATAAGATAAAATAAAATAAAAACAAGCAAAAGGGGTTATGGGTCTAGACAATATATCACGTACATAATAGAGTGGATCACAGAGGACTAGATAAAAACTCATCGAGTGTGTAAAAACAGTTGATCAACAAAAGCGACTTCAGACGTTTTTTGAATATTGATAAATTTTCAGCTCTTCTGATGATTTCTGGCAGATGATTAAATATTTTAGGTCCAATGCATTTAGGAGCATTTTGAGTAATTTTATATTTTGCAGCTTTGACATGTATCATTTGTTTTTGACGAGTGTTCTTGTCATGAATATCACTATTTAGAATGAAGTCGCTTTTATTAGTAAATACATAAACTGAAATTTCATATATAAATATACTTGTGAGAGTTAGAATTTTCTGATTTATAAATAGAGTTCTACATGAACAACTTCTAGGAGTATTGAATATACATCGTAAAATAGCCTTCTGTTCAATAAAGACGTTTCTACCCATTGTTGAGTTGCCCCACAAGCAAACACCATAGCGCGACCTGGACTCAACCTGAGCATAATATACACTGATGAGTTGCTTTTTATTTAAAACGACTCTCAGATTCCTAAAGAGATAGATCAATGAGCACAATTTTGAAACCAATTGTTCACAGTGTGGAATCCAGTTCAGATATTCATCCATTTGCATACCCAAGAATTTAACTGGATTGGGGGTGCTTTGTAAGGTTGTATTATTAATATTCAGTTGAAGTGCTTCAGTTTTATTCTGGTAATTATGAAAACGAATCACCTGCGTTTTTTTTGCATTAAAAAATAGATCCTGCCTGTTGAAATATACAGTAGTTAAATTCAGGATATCTGTGCATTTGTGTGTTAAAATATCAGATTGCTTATCCGAGATCAATATACTGATATCGTCTGCATATGCTGTGAATAATGAGTATGATATTTCCCTATCGATATTATTGATGTATAGTAGGAACAGAACCGGCCCCAAGATAGATCCCTGGGGCACACCAGTCCGGACCAGTTTATTTTCTGATGTAGTGAATGAAGTCACACCACCTCTATCAAATTTCAATGAGACGCATTGTGTTCTGTTGCTGAGAAACGAGGATACCCAGGCATGTGAATTTCCCCTCAGACCATAACACTCCAGCATATCCAGCAGTTTCAGGTGATTCACGCAGTCAAAAGCTCTGCTCAAATCACATAAAATTGCAGCTGGGCATTCGCCCGCTTCAATAAACTCCATAATGTTTTCATAAAAAGTTAGTAGAGCAGTTTGAGTCGATTTTCCAGAGCGAAAACCATGCTGCATGGGTATCAAAATAGGAATGCATACTCGAAGATTTTCGAGAAGCTCTGGGGGACGGTAATTGGTCTAAAATTTTCTAAAGTTGATAATTTTTTGTTCTTACGCAGAGGAGTTACCTTTCCTACCGTTAGCGCTGTAGGGAAACTACCATGTAAAAAAGAAAGATTCACTAAAAAAGTTATCGGTTTTATGATAATGTGCAAAACTCTTTTTAGTAGAAACACTGGAATTTCGTCAGTTCCTGACGAATGTTTGCTTCTTAGTTTACGATTGATTAAATTGAACAACTCTAATTCGCTAAATGGCTCTAAAAACATTGTGTGTGGATTCATTTCTATGCCTTTACCATTATTGAAATTCGGGCGATGATAATAATTACTCGGAATATCACGTATTAAGGCCTGTGGAGCTTCGATAAAAAAATTGTTCAATTCATTCACGATCTCTGATGGATTATTGATAACGTCATCATTTTTTTGAATGAAGATACTATCACATGCATTTTTACTTCTGTTTGTAAGTTCAGACACAACATTCCACAAAATTTTCGCATCGTTATCTGACATACTAATTTTCTTTTGATAAAATGTCTTTTTTGTATCTTTAACCAATTTAAGGTGCCGTGTTTTATTATTATTATATAATTCAGTTAAAGCAGGGTTATCTTTCTTCAAGTAGAATAGATGTTTTAATGAGCAGCTGGATTCTTTAACGGGATTGTCAATCCAGCCCTGTTTATTTTTGTTCAAGAATACTTTGCGTTTGGGGAAGGCAGTTTCGAAATAATGATAAAATATGTCATAAAAACAATTGAAGGCTTCTTCGCAATCGCCATACTCATAAATGTTGCTCCATTCTTCTTTTTGTAACATAGAATCGAAATTTACTTTATTACTTTCATTGGAACATCTCTTCATTTCGGTTTTATTGATTGATTTCAGAGAAGAGGTTTCGTTGATATCTAAGAATATCGCACGATGATCAGGTATTTCACAATCAGTAACATAACATGATTTTTCATTGTTACAGTTAGAGAAGATCTGGTCAATCAAAGTGCAGCTGGAATTAGTAATCCTTGTGGGCCAACCCACAAGTGGGCGAAAGTCGAAACGTGACATCACATTACATAAAGATATAAAATTAACATTTGAGTATGAATCGAAATTAAAATCACCACAAACAAAATAAATTATTCCAGGTTTATAAATAAGATCCAGTATTTCACAAATTTTGTTGAAAAATACGTCTATATCTCCACAAGGAGATCTATAACAGTTCATTATGACGAATTTTTGCAAATTCAGTGTGTATGAGATAGCGCATACTTCGAAATGTTGTTGGATGCAGAACTCACCAAGATCAATAGCAGTTGCCTTGATATCATTCCGCACCCATATCGCTACTCCACCACATTTTTTCGTTGGTCTACAGTAAAAACTACACAAACTGAAGCCAGGAAAAATTATATTGTCCAACATTGTTTCCTTGATGCCAATTTCTGTTAGACACAAACATTGTAAATTAGCGTAAAAGCTCATTTCTGTCTGAAGGATGTTCATTTTGTCAAAGTTTATTGTATTCACATTTAATAATATCAGATTTGGATCGATTAACGATCTGTATTTGATTTCAGACGATAATGTAAAAAATTGTTAATATAAGCACCAATTGGCCAGAGCTCAGGGTTCATGGCCATCTTGAAATTTTTTTCATAAATACCAACCTTGAAAGACGAATAGATGGTTGGATGTTTGGATTTAATTGCCTCACAGGTGACCTCGGGGAAAAATGCTTTAAGTTGCCCTAACATTTCATCAGATGTGGTCGCTGGATCCACTCTGCATACATGTAAGTAGACAAACTTAGGAACACCCTTGATCTTCTCAGAGTTTTCCCCGACAAGGAGGTTTCGATGTTGTCTAGATTTTCTTTTCGTGTGGACGGTTTTCCATTCTTCCTGATTATCCACATTAATATTGGGATGGATTAACCATCGAAGTAATTCATCGTACGCATTTCTGAGTTATACCAGTTTATAGTAAATATTTCTTGATTGACAAAAATGCGATTTTTAATGAATTTTACATGAATGCTTTGAATATTAGTTACTATGGCAATCATTGTTATCGCAATTGTTTTTAGTGCAATTACAAGCGACAGATGTTGTCAGTACTATGTAAGAGATATTGTCACATTTTGTAATAAGAAATATACCGATTCGTTCGATTCAAACAAAACTAAAATAGTGTCGCAACTCAGATGGTTTTGGTAGATTATTTGGCAAACGGCGCCTCCACCACGTGTCGCAACTCAGATGTTTGATCTCCTATGGATCGTAACTTGGCTACTCGCTTGGCTTAATGAGAGGATTTTGATCATTTCACCATCCAACCCTATTCACCCCCAAATAAAGAGAGCGGACAGTTTTCATAGAAAAGTAACATTTATTAATTAAATGAAAAGTTTTATCAATAAATGCTGCCACATGGCAGGTTAACAAAAGGAAAAACAAAGAACAACGCGAAACAACACAAAAAACCAGTACTTACATTATTACGTCTAGCAGGGGGTTGACCAGCAGGCTTGAAGTTGGGAGGACGGCGAACATTTTCATTTGATTTTCACTAGAATAACTTGTGTCGAAAATGAATTATGAATTGAACTAATTATGCCTTGTGTTGATAATGAATTATGAATAATTGCCTCATCGATTCGGGTACTATTTGTATAGGTCGCGTGCAAGAACTGTCAGATGACCGACCCTGGAGGCAAAACATATTTGTTTACAAGTGATCGAAATAGTTTTCCACAATTATTTTGGCATATGAATCGTATTTTTCCGCTTTTCATCAATTCGCTAATGCCATCACATTGTGCTGTTGTAAAATGCACAAAAACTGCAGCGCAAGATGAAGAAATCCGGATGGTACATCATGATTCAAAAGTAAGTACCTACTATAGTCATTCACATAGTTTTCATTTTTGAAATTTGGTTATTTCTCTGATTTCTCATCGGAATTCCTTCTGCAATAGGATCAGCTAATAGAAATATACCTGAAATTTCTAGAATAATGCAAGAAGATTGGATTCATGCAATCAATCGGTAGGACTGGTCTGACATGCTGACGATCGTGTGTGTTGTAGACATTTTCAATCTATTAGCAGCATTAGCTTGTTTTGCAGAAGTGGCAGAAGGCAGAAGGAATTTTAATAAGGAATGACAACATTTCATAATGCTAACTATGTGAGATTACTATTTACCTGAAAAATCATATTCCCTAGTCTTTTGCTGCATTTTTTGTGCATTGTACAACAGCACAATGCGAAGGCATGCTTGAATTAATGAATAAGGCAAGAAACACGATTCGTATGCCAAAATATTGTGAAAAACTATTTCAACCTTCTGATTCCTCTGTAACCAAATAAAAAAGTGAGGTTGTGTTTCAATAATTCACAGAAGAATGAGGTTGTGTTTCAATATTTCGCCTCCAGGGTCGGTCTTCGTGTACGCGACCTATTCGGAATCGATGCTAGGTTCGCAATTTTCCACACTGGGAACGGTCGTTAGCTCTCGATACCGCTTACCTAGGTATTATCGCCGCGGTAAGCGATTTCTTTGCAAATTATAAAGGAAATGATGTCTATGAACTCCGCTGGCCTGATCGAACTGCAATGTACTGAATGTTTTAATTTGGAAAAGTTAATTAATGATAGAAGATCTTGAATCGAACGAGAGTTTGAGTGGTGTTAATTCCTATAGGCATTTATACTTCTTGACAATAGTTATATGCAAACGGTTCAATTCAGCAATGAGGAAAAAGTGGACATGTTACTGGTGTTTGGAGAATGCAGGTCAAATTGTAGAGAAGCAAAAAGAGTTTACTCATTTCAGGCAAAATTATGTCCATCTGCTCGAAAACAACTTAGTCGGGGCTAAATTCCAAAAAAAGCCCTCCGTTACAATCCTAGAAGCATTTCATGTAAAAATTGGATAAATGCTGTTAACTCCCTATTTTGACCCCGCTGAATCCGAAAATACCGTTTATCGAGTCGAAATTCCAACCGGAAGTGAGATATTCAAGATGGCGTCCAGTATACCCCTAAAATCAAATTATTTTCTACTTTCGGTCAGCTATACGATTGAGGTGTCGATGTCTATGTTTTCGGGGGTGTAGAATACGATGAGACACTCAAAAAATGATTTGGAGCTTTGAAAGTTCATCGAATGATCAAATTTTGACGAAATGGGCCAAAATTCCAAAGAACTTGTGAAAACGTGTTGTATATAATGTACATGCTTGCATACGTTTTCGAGGGTGCTCGATACGTTCATGAGCCAAAAAAGCATTTGAACATTGTCCAAGCCTTCATTTCTTATATTTTGAAGAAAAAAGTTCACTATTAGTAGTCTTCCTCATCTTTTCTGCTCCATTCGGCAGAGCCCCATGCAGCCACAAACTCCAAATTCGGGACATGACTTGGGAATAGGTAGCAAAGTCATCAAGATTGGGACTTACCGTCCATCACCGATTTTCCAGCCGCAATTAATCGGGTCTGGTGAATCAAGATACTGATCATGGGCGTTAAACCACACACTAGTTCCTAAAAAGAAAACAGACTAAAATTAAAATCCCTCGATTTTTTCTATTTTCTTTTTCTTGTTAATTTTATCTGGAAGTGGCACCGAAGAATGTGTTGATGGATGGCAAAAGTGGTAGATGGCAAAAATCATTCGCACTGTCCCAAAAATTGCAACACGGGCTGCGTCTGCCGTTGTAATGTCCGGTCCAACTTGAAATGAAAATGATATTAGTATAAAAACGGCTAACAGTTCTAATTCACCATGTGTCTTAGAAAAGGGACGCAACAAACCTTGTATAAAGCTGGCACCACAAACTGTTCAACCAAACGGAGATCCTCGGGGGCTATATCAGGAGTCTTTCCAAGCTGACTGAGGAGTTTACAGTAGTTTTCTTCAATGTACTGCTTCCACCGTCCTGTTTTTGTGGCAGACCCTCATCAAGATTTAGTATCACATTCGGTGATTGCGTGAAAATCCATCAGGTTTTTGATCTGTTGTGATGTGAGCCGTGAGCTTTCTACATAGTTCATGAATTGGAATATACTTTCTATCTCGGGAAGTACCACACATCACCCAGCATTCCTTGAATTTCATTCTTTCAAAGTGATAGATGAATAATGAAATCACACTAGTGTCTTTAACAGAAACAACAACAGCCTCTCTTTCGGTTTTTACGCATGGAGTATATTCCAATTCACGAACTATGTAAGAAACTTGCACCACAACAGATAAAAAACCTGATGGCTTTCCACGCAATCACTGGATATGATACTACATTTAAGTTAGCGTCAGTCACAAAAACAAAACGGTGGAAGCAAGTACATAGAAGAAAACTACTGTAAACTCCTCAGTCAGCTTGTAAAAACTCCCGATCTAGCCCCCGATGATCTCCGTTTGGTTGAACACTTTGTGGTGCAAGCTTTATACAAGGTTTGTTGCGTCCCTTTTCTGAGACACATGGTGAATAAGAACTATTAGCCGTTTCGATACTACTACCATTTTTATTTTGAGTTGGACCGGACATTACAACGGCAGACGCAGCCCATGTTGCAATTTTTTGGACAGTGCGAATGCTTTTCGCCATCTACCACTGATGCCCTCCGTCAACACATTCTCCGGTGCTACTTCCAGGTAAAAGAAAATTGAACAAATCGAAGGATTTTAATGTTATTCTGTTTTTTTTTTCAGATACTAGTGTGGATTAAGGCCCATGATCAGTATCCTGATTTATAAGACCCGATTAATTACGGCTGGAAAATTGTTGATGGACGATGTGTCCCAATCCTGATGTCTTTGCCACCTATTTCCAATTCATTTTCCGAATTTGGAACTCGTGGCTGCAAGGGGTTCTCTCAAAATATAAGAAATGAAGGCTTGGACAATGTTCAAATGCTTTTTTGGCTCATAAACTTATTGAGCACCCTCGAAAGCGTATGCAAGCATATACATTATGCAACACGTTCTCACAAGTTCTTTGGAATTTTGGTCTATTTCGTCAAAATTTGATCATTCGATGAACTTTCAATGCTCCAAATCATTTTCTGAGAGTCTCATCGTATTCTACACCCCCGAAAACATAGACATCGACACCTCAATCGTATAGCTGACCGAAAGTAGAAAATAATTTGATTTTAGGGGTATTTTGGACGCCATCTTGAATATCTCACTTCCGGTTGGAATTTCGACTTGATAAACGGTATTTTCGGATTCAGCGGGGTCGAAATAGGGGGTGAACGTCTTTTATCCAATTGTTACATGAAATGCTTCTAGGATTTGGCTTTTCGCAAAACAAGCCCCGACTAACTATCAAAAACTTTGAGCAGATGAGCTTGGGTCATACTTGTAGGAGCGTCCTTCTTGTTATAGCGGCACACGCTGCACTAATTTTGTTGATAAAAAATCAGCCATATCTTCGATTGGTTCTTCATAGACAACGTCCTTTAGATGACCCCAAAGAAAATAATCTGGCGGTGTCATGTCCGGCGACCTCGCTGGTCACCTTATCGGTCCATTAGTACCAAACCATCTATTGGGGTATTCTCTGTTCAAATACCTCGTAACAATTTCGGCATTATGTGCAGGCGCTCCATCCTGCTGTAGCCACATATTCATTCTAGTCTCAATGGGCACTTCTTCTAATAGTTCCGGAAGTGTAGTATGAAGAAACCTTGAATAGCGATCTGCATTTAAAGTGCCTTCGTAAAAAGTGAGGTCCAATAAGGAATCCGTTTATTATGTTGCACCAAACATTGATGCCAAACATTCGCTGATTATCTCTTTCTGTAATCCAACGAGAATGATTTTCGGACCAAAAACGACAATTGTGTTTATCCACGATTCCATTATTATGGAATCGACTTTCGTCGCTCCATAGAATTCTCAAAAGAACATTGGCATCTTGGCTATACAAATCGGAAAATCTTGCTAAGAAATCCATTCTTCTAGCGGGATCACCTGGTTCTAATTTATGTACTAGTTTAGTTTTGTAAGGATGAAAAGAGTTTCTTTTTAGAATTCTCCACGATGAAATTATGAAAACACCGGCACCGGTACTTTCTTTTATTTTCAATAGGGATATCTTAGGGTTATTATCAACCTTCTGAATTACAGCAGCAGTATTTTCATCATTTGTAGTCGTCTTTTCTCTATTTCTTTTAGGTTTGACGAAGCTGCCATATTCTCTTGTTTTTTAACATAAACTTGGAAAGGTTTTTGCATCGGGGACTCTTCTATGCGGATAACTCTTTTTGCTTCTCTACAATTATTTGACCTGCATTCTCCAACCACCAGTAACATGTCCACTTTTTGCTTATTGCTGAATTGAACCATTTTTATATAACTATTGTTAGTTTTGTTTGAATCGAACAAATCAGAATATTTCTTATTACAAAATGTGGCAATATCTCTGACACACAGTACTGACAACATCTGTCGCTAGTTATTGCACTAAGAACAATTGCGATAACAATGATTCCCATAGTAACTAATATTCATGGCATTCTTGTAAAATCATCCAAAATCGCATTTTTTGTCAATCAAGAAATATCAACTATAAACTTGTATAACTCAGAAATGAGTACGATGAATTATTTCGAGTAAATAACAAAAAAGTTTATAAATGACATGTACTTTATCGGGCATGTAATTTCAAAGTCACTGCAATCGATTTATATTTTCTACGCGTCACGACGCTCAGCTCCTAGTAGGCGTTTAATTTCTTATACTTTGAAAAAAATCTACTTGACCCCCTCCATTGACTACTTTTTACAGAAATCAAATATTCCTATTCGTTTTCGAGATATTGGCGTGCGGATTTTTAAGTGAAAAACCCTGTATAATTATTTGTTATATAAAAATATTAAATTTCATTACAATGTTGCCAGCAGTTTCGACATAATCGTGAAAAATGGGTAAAAACATACTCCTTGTATCTTGAAAACGGATGCTGTTATGACATTTTTTAAATGAGCAGTTAAATGTCCATAATGATTGATATTCTATTTTTGTAGACGCTGGATGCCCTTCTGAAAACCTATAATGAAAATGGTATTCTCCTCACTCTCATCAACGTCAGTCCAGAGATTTTGAGAGTAATGAAAACTATCACCGACACGCAATTGTTATCGTTGTGTGGAAGTACCGATGAAATAAACATCATCGTAGACAATAAATCAGAAGAGGAAAAAGCTTTGTTGTATAGTGCTGCACCTAGAAGCAGAAGGAAATCATCGGTCAAAAGTTTTCACAGCAGGCGATCTTCCAGCGTACGCCGGAACGAAGACCGAAAATTATCAATTTATGAATTTGAATAGTTGTTACCATATTATTCAAATAGATATTATTCAAATAGATGATTTTTTACGAGAAAATGTTATCTCAATAAGTCTCCAAGACTGTATGAAGAGTTTAAAGTTTAATTTAATCTGAAACTTTCGTCTTAAATGAAAACTTCGAAATAATGGGGGTCTACACAAATAAAATGTATTTATTCTTGAATTATTGTCGTATTTTATTCGTTCACGGAGAAGTGAATATTCAATAGTGGCAAGTAAAAGCTTGTATACTATTTGGGACAAGGAAACAAGTGAATAACTACAGGAATATTTGTGTTCTTAAAAATGTACACCTACCACTATTAACCTGTTCCATAAAATTTCATGTTGATAAACGTTAGTAAACACAGCACTTGTCATTAGTGACTCATTTACTTGTCATTAGTGACTTGTTTACTTGTCATTAGTGACCTAATAACATGTCATTACTGAATTGTTCACTTGTCATCAGTGACTTACTTACCAGTCATTACCTAGGTACTATAAAAAATTACATATATTGTTCTCTTAAAATAATGACCTTGATGATAAAAAACTCGTCCATTCGAAACATTAATTGTATATAGCTATGATCAATCATCCAGAAATCACAAAAAGGTAAGGCTCGCGACATATATTGAGACACTAGATACCGGGTATATCCGGAACATGCGCCGAGAAAAACAGCTCCTCAGATGAGAAATTGATTCTCATACTCATTTAACGTCAGTTTCTCCCACTTAGAATATCATCGGAAGTGGAAAAGAATTCTGTATATGATGTCAACAATAATTATGTTCTGTTCTTGGAACTGAGTTATGTATTTCATTATCTTCTTCAAAAGAATAACAGATCTTCAAGAACTCAACACCTCACGGCACACAAACTCAGAATTTTCACAAATATGATATAGCACTTGTTCAGAAGCTCATCACTTGCATGACTTGAAATTTCAATTGTACTGGCGAGAACGCATATACAGGGTGTTGCGGAATTCGACCGACAAAGCTTGACAGGTGATAGACCTCGCGATTTCATAATCACTGAGATAGGGACATACGGTCTTCAAGTGTTCAGTTCTCGAGATACAGGGCGTTGAAGTTAAGAAATTAAAATAGTTTTTTCGCAATATCTCAAGAAGAATTGAATATAATGCATTCAAATTCGGCATAAGGTTTCATCTTTCAATTTTTTTGACGAGAAAGACATTCCGAGAATTTCATCGAGAGGTGCTCTACAGAGGGTTGTGATAACATTTCCTCCCATATTTTCTACGCCACTGATGAAATTTCAATTATTTCCAATTTCTCGAATTGATTGTTTCATTATGTTGAGCTTAAATGAATAGCTTTCGAGATATTTGACCCAAAATAGAAGTTTGCATAGTAATTTTTTATCTGCTAGAAAAATTCCAGCTATTCTTTCCAAATTATTCTCAGGAGTGTAAGGGCTATAGGATGAGATCTGAATAGTATCAAATCTACTCAACACCAGAAAAATATTTTTGCAATTTTTCACTACTGAAAATGATGAAATATTACTATGCAATCTTCTATTTTGGGTCGAATATCTCGAAAACTGTTCATTTCAGCTCAGTTGAAGGTGATGCATTTCCTGAACAAACTTGAACAATGAATTCGAGGAATTGGAAATAATCGAAATTTAATCAGTGGTGTAGAAAGTATGGGAGGAAAAGTTGCCACAACCCCCTGTACACACCACTGGATAAAATGTCCGGATTGACTTCCTGGTCAAAAAATGACCCATTCAAAGATGAAACCATATACCGAAGTTGAATGCATTATATTCAATTATTCTTGAGATATTGCGAAACAACTATTCTCATTTCTCAACTTTAACGCCCTGTATCTCGAGAACTGAACCACAGAATACTCCACAGAGAAGACCGTATGTCCCTATCTCAGTGATTATCAAATCACGAGGGCTATCACCTGTCAAGCGTTGTCGGCCGAATTTCGCAACACCCTGTATACTTCAAGAATGCTAAGATCATAATGGGGCCGTGGACAGTGAAAGTGGTCGCGTTGGGCGTGGGTACTCTGTTCTACTCAGATGGCGTTACTTTCATTTTGTCGATGAAAGACGTCTCGGGGTGAATATAATGCCGACTTGATTTTTGTGTGCGGCTAGGCTTCGCTGAGTCGGCGGTCTTAGGGCTGCTGGCTGGAGACTACACTGCACTGATGAGAGTCAAAGAACTCGAAACCGGTCTGTGGTTGTCTAGCGTGGCCTGACTAAATCGAAATAAATAGGCATTTAGGAAAGAATCACTTGTATCAGTATTCGTTTATATACGAGTCGATGCATAGATTTCGGGAGGATGGTAATTTAATGTCCTGCGTGGCATTATAGCCAGGGAAGTAGTTGTTTTTCTCCCGAAATCTACCATTGTTGTTCATTTTATGAACATTGTGTGGAAATGAATTAAAGCTTTTTGTATCTATTGATAGATTGTCTTCATTGATGAGTTCACTCAGAGCAAGTGATTTTGTCTCAGAATAATAATTTAATAATGGTGAGTATTCATTAACTTAAAACTTGTTAAGTGTTCACTTTTGATTTGCGACCTCAAAATACATATCGATTTGATATATACCAACAAGTGTCCTGATCATTCACAGAAGAAACATTGTTTCAGAGATATTGTTCTGCCTACTTCAAGTACCTTATTTTCCTACCGTTGGTGGAACTGTTCTTGTCACAATCGACTTTTTTTCAAGAAAACGATCTATATACTTGGCCGAGTTTTCTCAGTGTTCAATATGTTTTAAATTCAGTTTCTATTCATAAATACATATGAGAGTTCCTGGAAATGATGTAACGAAATGTTTCAGGTGCGCCTTAGGAAAACAATGAGCGTCTTATATACACTTATATCCTAAATTGAAAAATGACGAAGCTATCGACGATTTATTTTTACTTCAGTAAGGCAAAGTTACGACAAGTAATACCTCGACCATCCTCGACTATCAGAATCACCTTGAAAAATCATCGATAGCTTAGTCATTTTTGAATTCAGGATGAGAGATCATGGAATAGTTTTTGTTCAGAGTCGAATTTCCTATATCCACTAAGGATAATTTGAAGTAGGTTTCTCATTTAAAGATATTGCACTTTTTGACTTAATTCGTGAACGCGAGGTTAGATTTTTGTTTCGTTTTCGTCATCGTATTCAGCAGGAAAAATATACTACTAGTTTGCCCATTGTAGCTCAAATAATAACCGAGTTAGCAATAGTGCCGACTTGAGTTTGAAAATCCTGTATATTAGATACAATAAACCCCAGGCTGAGTAATATCACAAAACACTTATAGGACGAAAGCCGAGCGATTCTTGACCAAGAACTCTCGTACGATTTCGATAGACGAATAAAAATTATAACAGACATAACGAGACATCTGATGTGCATAGGTATAGTTGATATTCTCAATATACAGTATGATGCAAATGTATGGAATAAATTCATTATTTCAGAAATGGGCGACATTTGAAAAAATTCCAAAAACACGTGAGTTTTAATTTCTGAAGCCTCATCTCATGATATTCATATGAGAGATGTTACGTCACCGGTGTTGGAGTAAAGACATAATGGACGATTTTTTCAAATACAAATAGGGGTCATGTGACACCTTGATTGAAAAGTCTACCGATCGTCTATTCAACAGTCAAAATGTTGCATAAGAAGATTGAAATTAAAATGGATTATCATGTGATTAATTGAATCTTGCAGAGGTCTGTACTGAGAATTGAACATCGAAGGGTCGTCTAGTTAAAAGAATACGTCGAAAAAAAAGTTCTAAACTCTATAGTTTTTGGTTTTTTTTCGAAAGTCGTCTTGTTTTGAAATGAATTTATTCCATACATTTGCATCATACTTATAGTACAAGTACCAGTGAATATCTTCGTCTATTTTGACCATTTATTCTCTGTAAGATTATATGCTTTACTCAAAATATTGCCTCAAGTGGCTGGTGTTGAAAGAACCACGTTCTTTTTCGGTATCAGAGGGTGGGCTCCAAGGGCTACAAGGATTTAGAAACCATATAAAGTCTCTCAAGAAGCATGCAAACTTCTTATTTTCAGCCGTTAATGCCGAGGACACTGGATTAGCCCGTAACAATACTATACAGGGTGTCGCAGAATAACGTTCGTATACTCCGGAAGGTCGATCTACAGATAAAAATAAGAAAACATTTTCCTATCAACAGGTGTCCGAAAATGCTTCTCAAGGGCGCTACAGCCCTTTGAAGGTTGGTCCCTAAATGCAGTTTTCTTCAATTATCTTTGTTACCATTGATCCTATAGAATCATGAAATCTTGTACCAATAGGTTCGTTTTACGGCATTCCAACATACCTTTTTCATGGATTGTTTGGAAAATCATATTCTGGTACTAGCAAGAAGATACAGTGTGAGACAAAAAAAATTGGGACATTTTTAATAGCACGGGTTGCAAGTTTCGCACCGCCCTGTATATTATATCATTTTTTCCATTCCCTCGAACGATTTATGAGATCAAATTACCTATTGGTACAAAATCTCATGATTCTAGGATCAATGGTAATAAAAATAATTGAAGAAAACTGCATTTAGGGACCAACCTTCAAAGGGCTGTAGCGCCCTTAGGAAGCATTTTCGGACACCTGTTGATAGGAACATTTCTTCTTATTTTTATCTGTCAACCGAAAAGGAAATCCCTATAATTTTCAAATGACATCGTGCGTTCCTAGGGAGGATAGGGACAGGAGGTAGGTATTGAATTTCAGAATAGTCACTTTGAACTTCAGAAAGCGTCAATTGTATTTCAGATAGCGTCAATAGTATATCAGAATAGTCGTAGGTAATATCCCGAGACCATTTTGACAATTTGATGAGACCATATATGAGGGAGTTTTTCTATGATTATTAATGTACATATGGTCGAATTGAATTGTCTTCAAATGAAAGGTACTCGATATGAATGAAAGAAAATAATTATCTCTATTTGTCATGGTCGAGTGATATTCAGGAAGATGATTTCATGAACAGTATAA